TGGTGAGTGCTTTCAAATACCGAATTGAACTTGATACTTGTATTTGATACGTGACCAATGTGATTACCTGTTGTATACACGAATTGTTAGGGCTAGAGTGTACTTTATCGCACTTGCCCTTTTTTGATATATACTTGTTTATTGTTGAAATTGAATTGATATACTTGTTTATGTTGTGCGCACTTCCTGGAATTCCAGAAACCCTGCGGCAAGTTACTCGGGTCGAGCCGGCAAGGGCTTGGTCGATTAGGTAACGAACCCTGGGTCTCTTGATTGTCGAGTGGAGTGATATCTCCTCGACTAATAGGTATACTCGAGTATTACCTCCCGTGTTTATTGAGGGTTTTGGGCCCAGTAGGGGGTTTGGATGGTGGACGGAGAGTAGTGTAAGTGGTGTTCTACTGGATTGGTTAATTACTTGAAAGTTGACGGAGTGTCAACTATTACGTGATCAAGCTCCTGATGATGAATGGAAGTTGGCTCTTGAGAGCCATCCGTATCCTTATGCTTTGGAATGATTATTGCTTGTTGGATTATTGTTTATTTTGAAAAACTTTTACACTCGCTCATTTTGAGATTGCTACTTGACGTGTTATTGCTCCCTTTTATGAACTCTTCATACTCGTTACTTTGCTATATCGAAAACTTGTACTTATAAATAATGGTCAATTTGCTATTTGGAACCTCACTGGGCTTTTAGCTCATTCCACTCCATTTGTTTTCCTTTCAGGGATACGAACGTGGCGTGAGATATGTAAAGACTAGCATAGACTAGTTGTTTTTGACTTTTGACTTGTTCTCGCGCAATTACTCGAATAGAATGTTTTGTAACTGGATTGTATACACTTTGAACCAGTTTGGGTATATTGAGGTTTTGTATCTTGATTGTGCATCAATGTAAATTATAAGATTGAATTGCGATGTTATTTATTGTCGACGGTTATATGCATGTGATACGAGGGAGTGAGTCCTGGCGAGAGTTGGGCAGGCGGGCCGCTAAACCCTAGGGTACGCCCAGGGGGAGGTGGAGCCGTCACAGATGGTATCAGAGCTCCTATTGAGCTCGTGCCGGGAGAGGATTCTCGGACTGTGGGGATTGACTTGTTAAGTGTGAAACAATTGTCTGTTGTTGGGGACCTTAGATATGTATGTTGGGTAGGAATCTCTAATACGGGTAATTTACTCTTGAGCCCGGCCAGCATGAGAGGTAAATCATCATATTTTTGGATTCTTGTCCCCGAGTACCAAAGCGTGATACCTTTACGATAAGTTGAGATCTCGCGTAACATTAGGATAAGTTTGGATGGCGAAAGCAAAGGCACGGGGAATGCGAATAGTCTGGACTTGAAATATATTGAAGATATTCGTGGGATTTGGGATCCTTATTATTCACGTGCTTCGAGTTTTGATTAAGTGTAGTGCCTGAGCAATACCTAGGGTTAATGTCCTCTAGGTTATGTGACTTGTTTGTTATGTATATAAAGAACCTGTTTATTATGCGTTTTATTGCCTCTGTTTATCCTTTTGAAATGTGCTACATGAGCCATACCTTACCTTGTTTACATGTTTATAGTTGGTTAAACCCAAAACATGGAGGGTAGAAGAAGTCAAGCCAGAGGAACTAACCGAGGACGCGGTCCTAGTCGTGGCCGTGGGGGTAGACAAGCACAGGAACCGGTGCAAGAACCGAAAGAGGAGAGAGAGGCAACGATTGAGCCACAACCTGGACCCTAGGCTGTAGGGGGAGATCAAGTGGCAACTGCAATCCAACAAATGACTAATATTCTGGCCCGTTTAGTGGAACAACAGGGTCAAGCCCCAGTAAATCAACCTAGGGACCCTAATATGGGGCAAGATAGGGCTCTTGAGAGATTCCAGAAGTTCTCTCCACCTAAGTTCTTGGGAGGACCAGACCCGGAGGGAGCCGAGAGATGGCTAGAGGCCATGATCAATATCTTTGCCACTTTGAACTATGCGGAGGATAGACAAGTGCACTTTGCCGTTTTCCAATTTGAAGTTCCGAACAGGGCATGGTGGAATGCGGTTCAAGCTAAGTGGGAGAGAGAGGGGACCGCATGGACGTGGTTGAATTTCGTGTGAGAGTTTAACGAAAAATACCTCCCACCTATTGTCCAGGAGAAAAGAGAAGATGATTTTATTAAGTTTCGACAGGGAACTTTGAGTGTAGCTGAGTATGAAACCCAATTTACGAAGTTGTCTAAATTTGCTCCTGAACTGATAGCTACGGAGCAAAGAAGAGTCCGGAGGTTTGTGCAAGGGCTCAATGTGGAGATACAAGAGGCCTTAGCGGTGGCCCAGATTAATACATTTACAGAGGTCTTGGAGAAGGCCCAAAGAATAGAAATTGTTAGGGCACAAGTGAGAGCTTTTCATGCAAAAAGGAGAGGTGTGCCTGGTGGAAGTCAAAGGCAAGGACAGGATGATTTAGATATGCCACCCTCTAAGATAGGTCGAGGAGATGGTGGTGAGAAAATTTCAGGGACATCTAAGGAAATTACTTCAGGAGGAGCCTCGCGTGGCCGGGAGCAAGCAAGAGGTGCCTCACAAGGAGGTCAAACTCGAGTATCTTGTGAGTACTGTGGGAAGGTCAATCATACGGAGAATGATTGTTGGCGAAAGGCAGGAAAATGTTTATGGTGTGGTAGTGCCGAGCACCAGCTTGCAACTTGTCCCCGTAGATCACACCTAAACCCTGAACAAGCAAATGTAGGAGGGGCTAAGCCAAGAGTGCCAGCTAGAGTGTACGCCTTGGATCAACAGGCATTACCTAAATCATCGGAGATAGTAGAAGGTACGATTCGTGATTTCTATTGTTAAGCTAAATTTTGGCTACAGTAGGACCTGAGAGCTAGAAATGGATATACAAGAAAATACCTTACGCAATTTAAGAGTGCATGGATGAATTTCGAGGACGAAATTCTTTGAAGGATGGGAGATTGTGATACCCCAACTTCTAGGATACTATTGTTGTTTAGTTTCAAAAGAAAAAAAAATGTTATACTTCCGTTAGTTTATTTTTATTTTAAGATATTGTTTTGTTTTAAAGACTAGAAACCCTAAATTCTAGAAATAAAGTCTAATCAAAACCCTAGTTTCATTTGTGACTGACCGTTTTCTCAAATTTCTCATATTTTAACCGAAACCCTAAATTCAATTTATGGAATTGTAAAACCCCTCACGTTTTCTTAAAAATGCCCTTTTTTTTTGGAAATTATGATTTTATAATAGCCCTACCACCCAACCACCCCACAATAAGTGCAAATGAACATGAAAGTAAAGGTTTTCACTTTTCGTTTTCAAGTTGGAGCAAGTTAGGGTTTTCTCATTTTTCCAAAGGGTGATTCTTCGGTATCGAGTAAGGATCAAATTTGGTACTTAAGAGTGACTTTTAGGTGAGAAATAATATGTGATTAGAAGCAATGATAAAAAGTTAGTGAATAGGAAGTAAAAACCCTAGTACGTGTGATTTAAAGAAAAACGGTGCGAACCGACGTGTACCGTGCACTACCGATTGAACGCACCACTTGACCACCACTTTCTTACCATACAAGATCATTATTATTTGAGCAAAATATCTCCTTATTTCCAGCTGGCTTTGACCGAAATTTAGGGCTAAAAATGCAAGGAAAGAAAAAGAAATTTTGGTTGGCTTTGGTGGTGACAAGTGTCACTCACCTATGGCCACTTGACCAAGCCATAAGTCCAACCTTCTTATCCTCCATTTTGCTCCATTCCACTTCATTTTTCTACTGGTTGGCCGAGACAAGAGAGGAGAAAGAGAGAGCACCAAACAACCTTCCTTCATCTTGAGTTTGAGCCATCCAAGTGAGGAAACAAAATTCTAAACCGATTAATTTGTGAGTTGTGACCTTGGGAAGCTAGGGGAAACAAAAATTTCAAGAGGGGGTGAAGTATTAATCTTGCAAGCTTCTTTTGTTGAGGTATAAGGTCTAACCATGGCTTTGGTCCTTTTATTTTTGCTTAAGTTGTTATATAACTCATATTTTGGTTAGATTAGTAGTTATCCATGTTGTTGGGATGAATTTGAGGTGATGAATGTAAGTTAGGGTTTGATGATTTTCTGCCTAAACTTGTTGTATGGATAATATATGTTGTATCTAAGCTTATATAAGAGGTTGTGGTGATGATTGGAGCAAGAAATGAAGAAAGTTTCCATTGAAAATGAAAAATTCCAGATTTCTGGAAAAATGTAGCCCTGTTCTGTCCGGTTCCAGTTTGTGTTGTTACACGCCGAATTAGGTTTAGCATAAAACATGAAAGTTGTAGAGAATGATGTTTTATAGTTTGCTACAAAATTTCACATCAATCAGAGTAACTTATCCTGTGAAAAGACCAAAATACCCTCGCTGCCCTAGCATGTTTCCAGTGATCCGTTTTAGACAGTTCATCTAGTTGACCGTGTCTATTCACTGTGATCCGTGCTGATTTAGCCATTTTCCAAAACATAAAACTTTTAGTACTCTGTCTTATCTTTTGAACGCCTCAAAGAACTCCTTAAACGGACTTTGGTAGCCTGAGATATGGCCATTTAAATGTAGTACGGTTAACTAGCTAGTTAGTTGGAAGTCGGTTCTGTGAATTGGGAATTTGACTGGGTTACACTGGAAATTTGACTAAGTGATCTTCATGAAAGTTGTAACCCTTCGTCTTAGCTTCGAAATGGCATAAGTTTCACCCCAATCCGATAAGCGTAGCTTTGGTTGTGTCCGTTACGGAAAACTCTATCAAATCTGTCTTTTACTAAAGCTCATTTCCGCACTTGTTATTAGTTTGATTTTTGTCCTTGTATTGTCTTGAGCCTATGGAATGGCTATTGAAATTAGATTTTTGTGTGTGTACCTTTGGGTTTGAATGAAGAAAATAATGAAGAGTTCATAAAAGTGATTAGGGTTAAGAGTGATTAGGGTTAAGCAAGACCAATGCTTAGGGTTAAGAGTGATTACTGTGTCCCCCTAAGCATTGGTTTTGCTCTATCTTCTTCTTTTTCTTCACTGGGCTCTGCTGCAGAAAACCCCTCCTCTTCAACCCTAAGCTATACGTGCATGAGCAGAGCAGAAAGCTTTCATGGGGCATGGGCATTCAGAATCTCCTCCTAAGGTTCGTGGGTCTCCACGTAGAAGGAGTCCTTCGCGGAGAGAAAGGTCTCCGCCTCGACACAGGAGTTCTCGCTCCACAAACTCAACAGTGACCGAGAAAACTTCAAATCGTAACAGGTCTCCAAGGCGTGACAGGTCAAGGTCGCCAGAGTCTCGTTCACCTGTGAGAGAGAAACCTTCAATTCGTAAAAAGTCCCCACCAAGGAGAAGATCAATATCTCCTTCTTCAGCCTCTCCAATCAGAGAAAGACCCTCAAATCGCACCAGGTCGCCCAAGCGATCAAATTCAAAGTCACCTGATAGTCGTTCACCCTCCCCAAAGACCAAAAGGTTAAAGAGAGCTCAAGCTGAAAGAGAGGCTGAGAAGGGAAGTGAGAGAGAAAATCAGAGAACTCATGGTAAGCGAGGGGATAGAGCTTCTAATAGAGAAAGGGATTCAGAGAAGGAAGTGGCAAATGAGAGAAGAGAGAGACGGTCTGGGAGGGATGGAGTTGATAATGTATCATCTAGATCGAAACGTGATCACACGGTGTCTCCGCCTAATTATCGCCACAGGAGTCGGCACAGATCTAGATCTCCTCATGCTGCTGATAAGAGGGCACGTGATGAGGAAACAAATTCAAGGGGTTCTGATCATCGGAATGGAGAAAATGATTCAGTAGCTAAAATGAAAGCCACTGAATCAGCTTTGGAATCAAAAGAAAAGGAAAATCCTTCATTTGAGTTGTCTGGGAAGCTTGCTGCGGAGACTAACCGATATAGAGGTGTAACACTGCTGTTCACTGAGCCACCAGATGCAAGAAAGCCAGATATAAGGTGGCGATTGTATGTTTTCAAGGGTGGTGAACCATTAAATGAACCCCTCTACGTACACCGTCAAAGCTGTTATCTTTTTGGGAGAGAAAGGAGGGTTGCTGACGTCCCTACAGACCACCCATCTTGCAGCAAACAGCACGCTGTTCTTCAATATAGGCAAGTTGAGAAGGAGAACCCTGATGGTACAGTATCGAAGATAGTAAAGCCTTATATAATGGATCTTGGGAGCACCAATGGAACTTTTATCAATGATGATCGAATTGAAGCTCAGAAATATTATGAACTTTTTGAAAAAGATACGATTAAGTTTGGTAATAGTAGCCGTGAGTATGTCCTGCTGCACGAGAACTCACTGGTTGATGCTAATTCATTGGCTTCGATCATGGCTTGTGAGGCCTATTGGTGTGGTTGTGAAGAATTAAGATATGTTGCCTGAGGCTTGCTGGAAGGATGTCCAACTGCTTTCAGTGGCGTCTTGCTGTAAATTTGAGCTGCAAATGTTGCCTGCTAAATTTTGCTCTTTCTTATACAGATGTTGGTTTATACTTTGTGCTTAATCAGGAGCTGTAATTTGTTTAGCAGCTGCAATTGGATTGATAAATATATTTTCCGGGCACAAAAAAAAAAAAAAAAAAAAGAGTGATTACTGTGACGCCCCGAAAAAAAAAGAGTTTGAGAACCCGGAAATTTTCTAAGTTTCTAGGGTTTATTTTTTAAACGCCCGCCTTTTCTACATGTTCTTGATTAGAAAAATTCCCCAGATAAAGTTTATGAGCAAAAATTGTTTTAAAATGATTTTTCTAGTATCGGTTAGTTTTTGAGAAATTAAAAGCGTATTTTGGACGTGGGACCCACTAGTGCGAAAGTTCGGAAAAATTCGGCCAATTAGGTTAAGTTCCGGATACTGGGTGAAATTTATCGGGAGTTAAGATATTTGTATTGGAGAGACAAAAAGATAAGTTTTAAACCTAAAGGTGACAAGTGTCACCATTGTATTGGAAATAGCTTATGACTTACTATTCATTTTCTTGACTTTTGACCAATTGCTTAAATATCTCAAAAATCACACAAAATTCATTATTGTCTTCAACCTCTTGGCCGATTCTCTCTCTAGCAAAGAAGGAAGAAAAACCTCTTCAAAGTTTGGCAATTATCTAGCTCAAATCCTCCAAAACACTTGCTTGATCTAGTTTCTACTCCATAAAATCCCTCCATTTGGTGCTAGTGAGTGATTTGGTGAAGTTTTTTGGAAAAGCTAAGGTGTCCTACAACTCTCCCTCTCTTGTTTACTAGGTGAGTGGTATATGAACTTTCCCCTACACTTAATGAAGCTTGAGTTGTGCTTAGTGGAAGCTAAAGTGTTGAATTTTGTGATTTAATTCTTGTTTTTGGATGAAATGGTGAAGTTTACAATTTATTGGTGAATTTTCTGGTTTAATGTGATCATGATGTTGTGGCCATGTATGATGATTGGAAATGTTATGTAATGAAGCTAGAAGGTGGAAAAAGTGGACAATTGCAACCAATTTTGGGTTTGGAAGAAATTCTGGAAAATTAGGGTTCTGGAAGCTACATTCTGTCCGAAATTTTAGGTCATAGATAGAGGCCGAATTGGCCTTAGCTCAAAACATGAAAGTTTTAGGGAATGACATTTTAGAGGTGCCTACAAAATTTCAGGTAATTTGGAGTAGTGTAGAGTGAGATATATCGATTTTACTGTTGCTGTTCTGGGTTGATCAGAATGTGCGAACTGCGCTTGTAATCGTCTGTTTTGACTGGAATTGCTTTGGATTTGGATGTTGGTGTCTTCTGATGAAATGTAGCTTGATGTCTTAGCTAACATATTCCTTTGGAATCAATGCATTTGGACCTGTGTAGACTGAGTTGGACGAATTACAACATTGTGTGATTTGGGAACCTGCAATTACGGTTCTGGTTTGGTATTCTGCATTTTTGACTTAGTTGTGCTGGGATTTGGACTGAGTGGCCTTCTACATTGTTGTAGCCCTGTCTTTTAGCTTCGAAACGGTGGGTCTTGCACCTTCATCCGACCATCGTAGTGCTTTTGGCACCATTACCGCAAAATGACGTCAAAACTGTTTTTCTGGTTTGAGCTAAACTTTCATTTCCGGACTTTTCCCTAGCTTGACTTGTACTAGTACTACTTGGAGCTTGCTGAATGGCTATTGGATGAACTTGTTGTTGTGTGTGTACCTTTGGGACTGGCTGAGGATATAATGAAGCCATGATGGCTGGAAAAGTAAGCAAATTCAGGGGAAGTGCTGTCCGAACTTTGAAAGGACTTGATTGCATTGACTGTATGATGGATGATTGCTGAGCCATTGAGGTGAGTGACCTCAAACTATTTCTAAAATTATTTATGAACCGTTTCTTGCATTATTTACTTTTGAACTGTTTCCAAATTTACTTTTGAACCGCTTTCCCGCATTATTTACTTTTGAACTGTTTTCAAAGTTAATTTTGGAACTGTTTTCTTACATATCATGCGTGCTTGCATATCAGTGTCTTGTTATTATTGATTTTGCTTTCAATGATTGTTAAAACGAGTTTTCTAGGCGAGTGTGTACTTTATCGCACTCGACCTAAATAAATATGAAATTTTCAATGATTAATGATTAAATGCTACTTGCGCATGAATGTAAGCCTTTTGGGCTGAACTGGCCATTGCCCCTTGTTACCGGTCGTCTCGAGCCAGAAGCGGACTCGGTCGGGCGACTAGGAACTTGGGTGAACGTTTGGTATACTCGAGTATTACCTTGTAGGTTGGTGGAGCCTGGCCAAAAGCCAGGGACGGGGTGAATGAATGCACAAATGAAACGAAAAGAATGCAATGAAATGACAGGAGAACGAACATATCCTTTCATGAATGTTACTATCGCTTTCCATTGTAAATGTTTCTTGAATTATTGCTACTCCATCATTGATTTATGACATCATTGATCTATGACATCATTGAAATGAACGATTGTGAAACTGATTTGATAACTGATTTTACTGGTTACTCGCTGAGCTTCTAGCTCACCCCAAAAATGTTTTTTTCCCCTCCACAGGGCTCAAGGCGAAGGGAAGGGCTTGTAGTGTTTAATCCTGGATTATTTCATGTATGGATTGAATTTGGTTTTCCTTTTGTGTAATCATTCATATTGGGATTGTGTTGAACGTTTAGAATTGATTGGATGTGTAATAGTCAAGTTTTGGACTTCCTCCTGTATAATCATTGTGACCAAGGATCAGAGTGGCGCAGTGGAAGCGTGGACGCTTCGCTTTTGATATGTAAATGTTGGAATATTTGATTTATATTGGAGATTTTATCTTGTATTTGTTTGAGGACTGTAGTGATCGACTGAGTCCCGGCGAGAGCTGGGCAGGCGGCCCGCCGAACCCTCTGGTTCGCCTTAGGGGGAGGTGGGGTCGTGACAATTACTACTTGAACTATCTAGGATACTTGCATCTTCTTGTTCCGAGGTATATAAGTAAGGACTTGGCCAAACTTGTACCCTTAGGAAATAAAATAATGATTGCTCGAAGTATGTTTTCCTTGTACTTTCGACTCAAATGGCATTTCCAAGTTTAAATGTTGCAAAGTTATATAGTTTGAAAAGCAAGCGAGTGTTTCACGAATATTCTCCAAGTGAATTTCCATTTCTTGATTCTTATTGAACGAAACGTCTAAGTTTCGAATCTTAGTCATGTTTCAAAGTTCTCAAATTGAGTTTTATCGCAGATTTGGACTCCGAACCCGGATTATAAACCAGACGTGATTACTAGGGGCACTTCATTTTGGTGACTGCTTTCAAATACCGAATTGAACTTGATACTTGTATTTGATACGTGACCAATGTGATTACATGTTGTATACGTGAATTGTTAGGGCGAGAATGTACTTTATCGCACTTGCCCTTACTTGATATATACTTGTTTATTGTTGAAATTGAATTGATATACTTGTTTATATTGTGCGCACTTCCTGGAATTCCAGAAACCCTGTGGCAAGTTACTCGGGTCGAGCCGGTAAGGGCTTGGTCGATTGGGTAACGAACCCTGGGTCTCTTGATTGTCGAGTGGAGTGATATCTCCTCGACTAATCGGGATACTCGAGTATTACCACCCGTGTTTATTGAGGATTTTGGGTCCAGTAGGGGGTTTGAATGGTGGACGGAGAGTAGTGTAAGTGGTGTTCTACTGGATTGGTTAATTACTTGAAAGTTGACGGAGTGTCAACTATTACGTGATCAAGCTCCTGATGATGAATGGAAGTTGGCTCTTGAGAGCCATCCGTATCCTTATGCTTTGGAATGATTATTGCTTGTTGGATTATTGTTTATTTTGAAAAACTTTTACACTCGCTCATTTTCAGATTGCTACTTGACGTGTTATTGCTCCCTTTTATGAACTCTTCATGCTCGTTACTTTGCTATATCGAAAACTTGTACTTATAAATAATGGTCAATTTGCTATTTGGAACCTCACTGGGCTTTTAGCTCATTCCACTCCATTTGTTTTCCTTTCAGGGGTACGAGAGTGGCGTGAGATGTGTAAAGACTAGCGTAGACTAGTTGTTTTTGACTTTTGACTTGTACTCGCGCTATTACTCGAATAGAATGTTTTGTATCTGGATTGTATACACTTTGAACCAGTTTGGGTATATTGAGGTTTTGTATCTTGATTGTGCATCAATGTAAATTATAAGATTGAATTGCGATGTTATTTATTGTCGACGGTTGTATGCACGTGATACGAGGGAGTGAGTCCTGGCGAGAGTTGGGCAGGCGGTCCGCTAAACCCTAGGGTACGCCCAGGGGGAGATGAAGCCGTCACATATGGTATCAGAGCTCCTATTGAGCTCGTGCCGGGAGAGGATTCTCGGACTGTGGGATTGACTTGTTAAGTGTGAAACAATTGTCTGTTGTTGGGGGCCTTAGATATATATGTGGGGTAGGAATCTCTAATACGGGTGATTTGCTCTTGAGCCTGGCCAGCATGAGTGGTGAATTATCATATTTTTGGATTCTTGTCCCCGAGTACCAAAGAGTGATACCTTTACGATAAGTTGAGATCTCGCGTAATATTAGGATAAGTTTCGATGGCGAAAGCAAAGGCACGGGGAATGCGAATAGTCTGGACTTGAAATATATTGAAGATATTCGTGGGATTTGGTATCCTTATTATTCACGTGCTTCGAGTTTTGATTAAGTGTAGTTCCTGAGCAATACCTAGGGTTAATGTCCTATAGGTTATGTGACTTGTTTGTTATGTATATAAAGAACCTGTTTATTATGCATTTTATTGCCTCTGTTTATCCTTTTGAAATGTGCTACATGAGCCATACCTTACCTTGTTTACATGTTTATAGTTGGTTAAACCCAAAACATAGAGGGTAGAAGAAGTCAAGCCAGAGGAACTAACCGAGGACGCGGTCCTAGTCGTGGCCGTGGGGGTAGACAAGCACAGGAACCGGTGCAAGAACCGAGAGAGGAGAGAGAGGCAACGATTGAGCCACAACCTGGACCCCAGGCTGTAGGGGGAGATCAAGTGGCAACTGCAATCCAACAAATGACTAATATTCTGGCCCGTTTAGTGGAACAACAGGGTCAAGCCCCTGTAAATCAACC